CCCACCAGTCGCGGTTGCACATTATAATTCCTTGGCCGCTTACCGTTTACTTGGAATCATTAATAAAATCAGCCAGTTAAAAAGTGATGTATGATCCTGTCTCAAAGTTGTAAGCATCAGGTCTGATAGGGGGGTCTGGATCCCCCAGACCCTCCCCCTGGATCTGCCACTGGTCTTATTGGTTTTCTAAACACTTTTGTCTATGTGATTGAAATAGCAATACATGCTTGGTATTTTCAGGAGTCATGAATATCAGTAAGCTACCATTTCCATCAATTGAGTATTTTTTTAATTTGGTATGGAAAGTGGTCCAGGATTTTCTTTAGACTCTCTCTGTATTTGGCTTAAAAAACTTACACCACCTTGTAAATCAATTATCAGATGCTTATAGAGTGCTTTAGGTTTAAGTGTTGGAAAACCAAAACCAAAGTCATCTCAATGGCTGATAAGAAGAAAGGAAGATACTTTGAGCCAATGAGAACACAAAGTAAAATTGTCTCAAGTGTATGAAAACATGAGCTTCCCAGTTTTGACTGGTTTTAGTTTTGCATCTGATTGGTAGAGAGAGAGAGGCACAAGATTTCAATCACAGAAAAATCCCAGAGCAAAGTAAAACAAAACAAAGCAGTCCAGGATTACTTTTGACTCATTGAAAATTGCTCCATGAATCCCAATTCTAAACTGAACAAAAATTTGTTGTGACACAGCACAATTCTTCAAGGCAACAAGAAACAAATTTTAATGGAATATATTGTTTTGCATCTGCTGGTTAGTTCTCTAAATTTCCCAATAATTATGTCCAAGCCCCCCCAGCCCTATTTTCAAACATGCAGTTTTACTTTTTTACTAGAAACACTTCCCACGTTTAGGATGTCTTTTCTTGATCACTGATCCCAGTTATTTCCTTTACCCACTCTCTCACTAAGCCCTTTGGATCTTGGCTTTGAATCGTTTGCTTTTCAATGTTTTATTGTCATATCTGGCACAATGCAGAGCACAATGTAAAAGTGCATTCAGTTATTTGCATGACGTAACAGGGTTTTCGCGCAATTTCCGCGCGTACTAGTGAAACTAGTTACCAGGTATTATTCTTGACATTTCCCGCTCGAACAAGGCCGCCGTCGATAATCTGGGCACCACACTCTTAGATCAGGTTTATTAGAAGCGTCTCTGTGACAAAACTTGAAGGTTTTACTGCTTTTATTGGATGTTCTCAGGGCGTTTCAGTCTACCTCTGAGCAGCCTGAATAGCCAGAAAGGTACGTTATGAAACAGAGTCTCCTACTACTTCATATTTATCAGTCTGTTTGATCTCTTTTGTTGTGTGTTGAATGTATTCTGCATGTTGTCGCTAAGCATGCTTGACTAAAATCGGGAAAAAAGGTTTTATGCTTCATTCCATTTGCTATATGTCCTCATTTGAATTAGTCATAGAACAGTTCTTCAGATTTTTTTTTTAACTAAATCATGGCAATCTTTGTTTTTAATTTTAATTAGTCGGTTCAGTGACCAGAATTCATGTTCTACGAAAACAGAGGTTTCCCGGCTTTTTCCCAGAGTCGAGTATAAGCAGGCAAGCTATATGCTCTTTTCGATTAATCTTACTTTTAAGCTCATAGTATGAAAGTAGGTTCTTTGAACACATGAAAATTATATTGCTTTTATGTTGATCGGAAAATAGTGTACAGAAATTTGACCAAGAATGTTTCAATTCAATTATTATGTATTTGATTAAGAAGAAACACTTCAATCTAAAACTCGTGAATAAAGGCTTATTAGTATTATTGCACTCCGTCGAATGTTGTTTATAACAATTTGAAAAGTAAAACTTTAGGATAGATTTTTCTGAACGTTATTTTCGTTCAGTTAAAGTTATGGGATTGTATTATTTCCCTTACTTATGCCATACCATATTTGTAGGTGAGATTTACTTGACCTATGGCTTTGTTTGGGTATGTCTTGAAAGAAAAATTAGTTGTAAATTTACATTTTCCACTCGATCTCTTTCTTGCTGTAGCATCATTAGCACTCCACCATTTCACTAAGAATTCATGAATATATGTTTTGCTTCTTTCACAATAACTGACACAGCTTTCCAATGAAGGGTGCAGCCATTAATCATCTGAAGGGGGACCGTCAAATGGAATTGTTGGTTTAACTGAGAAAAAAAGGCACCTTAAAATTTTAATATTAACTGTAGTTTGAGATGGGCTGCATGCTGTAAACCTTATGTCAGGAATTTCACGAGGTAGAGGAGGTAGTGAGAATTATCTGGCTAAATTTTGATGGCCTAAGGTGTCTTTCACTCGGATTTAAGAACATTTTCCAATTACTTCACACTTAACACCTGTTACTGCATTCCTTTTTGAAAATCTTACTATACTCAGGTCTATCAGTGAATTTGAAAAAGAAAAGGTAAAAAAGTAACAGCGATGTTGCTTTGTCACTTTAAGCACAAGACTGTGAACTATTCTGTTAAAATGTGTGCAAGTTTCTCAATTCTACAAGGAAATTCCCCACGTTATTGAGTCACACATTTCAACCTGATTCTGCTAAATTATGGATTCATTACCACTCAAAACTGAGAAATGGATGTTGTACAAATTTCTTGGATGGTATTTCAACAATTTGGCAAATTTTCATATACATATTTGGTAGAATGAGGTTATGGCAGATGGCAGACAGCAGACGGCAGCCTAGCTGGTTCTTCTGGAAGCTCTGTATATACTTTAGGCAAATATCTCACTACCAAATGGTTTTCACTCAGCTCCCTCTGTATAGACTGTCTCTTGGTGTATAGTTTATAGAGTTGTCTGTTTTCAGGATATTTAGCAGTTTTACTTTCAGAACTGATTAAACTGAAACTACTCCTTACAATGAGTTCTAAAAAAAAGGTAATAAGAATAAACTAAATTATCAGCTGTTGTTACAGTTATCTTGATACAGTACTTAATTATCTAACAGTTGGGGTTCATGTAGTTAAACAAGAAGGATTTTTACAAAGAAATGACTTGTAATGGCAAAAGAACAAAATAAAAATGAGTGGAGAACATTCTCCACATTTAAATAAAAAAATGGCTCAGGTGATATGAATTGAGCCTGAGAATTTTATTTTATTTTCCACTATATATTGCCCAATAGACATGCTGGAGGGGAGGTTTACCATTCAAAATTGGACAAAACAACAATACATCTTCCCCTCTCAACTAACACTTGATACTTTGTTGCTTTCCTTCTGCAAAGATGACAGACACTGATGACAAAAAGCTGGAAGAAGGCCAAACAGACCCTGTATATGGAGGCTGCGAGGGACCAAGTGCTATGTATGTGAAGCTGATATCCAGTGATGATCATGAATTCATAATCAACAGAGACTATGCCTTGACATCAGGAACAATCAAAGCTATGTTAAGTGGTCCAGGTAAGATTTGGGTAGCCGAGATCCATTTTGAGTCGCTACACTAACCCTAACCCTGCACATAATTTTATTTGTTGTAACTATTTGTGTGAGATGAAAAGGCATCATACCTCATTGTGTTTAACCATTTCACTCCTAAGATCTTAGGAATTGTCCTTACTGTCTGCAATACATTTCTTATTATGTAAGTTTGGAGAGTTTGGTATTGGATCCACTAAAAATACCCTTGTTGATAGTTTCCTTTATTCTCAACACTTGTCTGCTTGATATTGTATTGATATTGTAAGGAGAAATTCTGTCTTGGTCACTCATGGAAGTTAAAGGGTTAAATTTCAAAACAGTAAGTGTTGCAAAGAGAAAGTTGTCTCAAATGCTTTTTATGCTTGTCTCTGTTTCTCAATGGCACTTTTTTCCAAAGCCATAGGAATTTTCAGTGTGAGAGGACAATGTGTTTAATTGACTTGAGACAGATAATTGACAAACGCTCAAACTGCTTGTGGACAATACAAAAGTGCTCTATTCTTATTTCCAAGTGTTGTCCTGCCACTGCATTTTTATTTTTTTAAGTTTGATATTATGTTACCTGTCATAATATAGAAAATATATTGCCTAACAAAATCATGAAATTTGGTATCACAAAATGTGTGCCTCTCAAAGTTGCTAACTAAACAAGCCACAAAAAATTGATGCAACAAGGTAATTTATTGAAAAGTAATGCTTGGTTTTTTTTTTTTTTTTTTTACATAGGCCAGTTTTCAGAGAATGAAACCAATGAAGTTTACTTCAGAGAAATTCCGTAAGTACAAAATGTTTCGTGCTTATAGATTTTAAAAGATCAAGTCTTCCAATTAATGAAAAAAGTTAGGTTGTGATTTTCAACTTGTGTGTTGATTTGTCCCTTTGAATATCATTGTGATTCTGTCCTCTCTGATAGCTATTAGAAGCAACATATATTGTAACATGTTTGCACAATGAAATTGTGTTTATTGTTTACCATCAGATTATTGAAATCTAGCTACTTTTAGCTTGTATAGGGTATTTTTTTAGGGTGTATATACACTGTAAATGTAATAGGTTTGAGGGTTTTTAACTCAAATACCCTTGATATCCATATGTTAAGGTACTGATTCACCACATCTGACAATGCTTTGCACACAGATGTGTTCCAATTTGTCCATGATCAACTTTCTTATTGCAAACTTGTTTTACTCTGTTCCTTTTTTAAATGTTGCATAAAGATGCCTTAGGAAGGCATTATCAAAAGAATTAAAATGAGCCTTATTGTAAAATAATGTTCTGTCATTATAATATAATAATTATCATCTAATAGTGTATGTGGCTCTTTTAGCAAATTAGAATGCATATTAAGGCCTCTTAAAATTTTGTGGCACATTTGATATGCCAAACCATCTGGTTGAAATTGCATTATTTGTGACAGATAACAGACATGGTATAATTATTCAAGTGTTAATTATTTACCCTTGTTAGTGCACATAGCACAAAGATTGGGAGGGGGGGCCAATTTTTAAAGTTTAAAGCGTGGGAGATAAAGATTTGGTTATTTAAAAGGGTGGCTGTGGACTAGAACTTGCAACCTCTGCTTTGCTGCTGTGTCATGGCTAGTGATCTCTATCTAGTATTCGAGATTGGGATCTCTTTCCAAGAGGCTTGCTTTACTGTACATGTGGGGTCTCACACATGGCTTTATGGCCTTTGTGGCCGTTTTCTATCCTTGTTGGAGTTGATGAGTGTAATGAATGTGACATATCATGCTTTTGACTGACAAGAGAAAAACTCTATTTACAGCTCACATGTGCTGGCCAAAGTGTGTACTTATTTCATGTACAAAGTACGATACACCAACAGCAGTACAGAGATTCCAGAATTTCCCATTGCCCCGGAGATTGCACTGGAGCTGTTGATGGCTGCCAATTTTCTGGATTGTTGATTTTTTTTATGATTCTTTTCCGCATAGATTGTTACCGTTGGCCAAGCTGTTATTGCATGACATGTATTTCTATTATGATTTTGTTATTCCATTATCCTTATTGGTATTATGTATGTATTTTTACTTATGAATGTTTACCACATATGTGACTCCCTAACAATAACCTAAAATTGTTGCTATTGGTATGTTACAAGTTTATATTATAGACACTAACTTATAAATACCCTATTTTCTCAAAATAATTTACTGCAGTCTCAACTGATCTTTGATGTAACCATCTTCTTCTACAGGGAAAACAGACAGATTAAAGTTGATAAACTGGTATGATCCCGAAATTACATCATATTTTCTGTTTTAATTTACATGTATGTTGCACAAAAGAAATTTTGATTACAAGGGAGTGGGAAAAAAGTTCCTCATAACAAAATGTAATCATTGCAAGTGCCTTTTTCACATGTGAGTGCAAATTTTATAAATTACGTTAACATGATAGCTTTATACATAATTGTATATCACTTTTAAGTGTAAATTTACAAAAACAGTTTTGTATTGATGTACTTTTTGTTAACTTTGTCAGCTCAATAAGTAAACCAAGGATAACCTGACTTGTTTTGTAAAACTGCTGCAAGGAGTGGTCTAAAGAAACACAATAAAGGGTCTTTCAAATCCATTATAATAATTATGGTTTAGTGAATTGTTTGATTGTCATTTTGATGATCTCTAACCAAGAAAAGTTGCAATCTTTTTTTAGGTAATTAGGAATGTAAAGTTTAGGATATATAACTAATTACTCCTTATAGAATCAACAGGGAAAAGAACAGAGCCCAAAACTAAAATAAAATAATATTGTGATAAATAATTGTTAAAAAGGTCATAACCAGGACCTCAGTTGGTCTTCATTCACATCAGTATTAATAATTTTTATCAACATTGTGTTAACATTCCTATACAGCAGGAAGTTTGTCAACATGAACTTAGTTCAATGGCCTGGCCTGCGATATATATATCTTATTAACCAAGCGGGAGGGCTGTACTGGGAGAATATTGGCCCCAGGTCTTGACAGTACGGACTGACCTGCACTCGGTCCGTACAAACAAGACCGAGGGCCGATATTCTTCCAGTACAGTCCCAAGCAAGCTTGGTTAGTAAGAGATTTATTATATGACTGAAGTTCAAAGGGACACAAGTGCGGCATCATTTGGGACCATTCGGGACAGTGCCCGGTCCAATACTTAGAGAATATTGGACCAGCAATAGAACATTTTGATTGGTTGATTTTAGTTATTGGCCCTCTGACCACCAGAGTCGTGTAATAAAGTCTCCTATCAGAAGGTTATAGGTTTGACTCCTATGGGAAGCACTCAGAGTTATCTTTTTCTAAGTTTGCTTGTGAATAATGTCACCTTTTAGGACCTCAGTTGTATAGAGTTGTTTAGAGTATCAGTTGTTTAGAGTATCTTACAAAATACCCAAATTTGAAGTACTGCGAAATAGGGGTGGTCAGGCTGGATATTCCTTCAAAAGTTCCGGTGTCATGAAAGTTTTTCACTGACATTGAGAGCCCCTCCTCACAGCACACACAGGAACAGTGGTTTAGAAAAAACCAGAAGTATAGATGCCCATGATCACAAATCACAGCAAAAGGAGAACTGCGAGGCAACAAACTAACAAGGGGACAACTCAACAAAGGATAAAGAATGCATTACAGATTATGAAAATAAGCCAATCACAGAGATGGAAACCAATCAATCACAGAAGTGCATTGTTCTTCACAAGATAACAGGAGACCCTTACCATATAATACCCAGCAGGCATTGGGAACATGGAGCAGCAGATTAAATTGAGACAAATGACGAGACTCAATCCTATACACCTGAACATCAGTATGAATATTCTCCACACTATTCTCTATACATTTCTTGAGGTGCTGTCAAGGAGAATAGAGCTTCTTTAATTGATAATCATTTCCTTTTTTCTTTTGACTTCATATGTGATTCAGGGGTGATATTGTAAGGAGAAATTAGATGCTAGTCACCAGTTAGGGGATTAAGGGTTCATTCTCATTGAAAGTAATTTAACCTTAACTCACAGGAACTTTCGAGTGTTAAAAAAATGGCAATAATCACAACATTTAAATGATTTAAACATCAATTTTATGTGTTTTGAAGTAGTTTTTGATACTACTCCTTGCTGTGAAGATTTCTCCACAGGTTCTTTGCTTTCCATTAATTTTTTCAAAAGTCATTCACTCTCAATTTCTCTGCTTTTTGTGGGCTCCAAGGGGCAAGAGTAAGTTTGTCAGTTGTGCAGTTGTTAAACTGGGTCAAACCAAGGGGGTATTTATAGTGATAAATTTATGTTCTTAAGGTGGTACATTTACAAGGGATGAATCAGAGTTTTGTGGTGTAGCCCTGATCACAGGAAGTGGTTTGAACCCAAGAATGAAACTAGAAAAGGACTTCTCTTACTGATTCTGATTGACACAGTCGCAACTGCTGCAACATGAAAAAATGTTAGCACCAGCACCAACCAATCAGGTTGATGAATGACAACTTGGTTTATTGTAACTGTCAGACTACAAAACAAAGCCAGCAATCTTGCCCAGAAATACAGTCCCCTGATATTACTTTAAAGAAACCATCCTATTAACACTGAATGTTTATGATCATGCAAATATTGATGAATTTAAACTTCCCATACCCTGTTGTAGCATACAAAACTTGTTGCTGAAGATGTAAATTTTCTTTCTATTTTATTACACACATTTTTGTACAAAGGCATCACATTTTTTTTTTCATGTACAAAAATAAATTCAAGAAACATCATTCATCTTTTTGTTCAGTTTAGGTTTGTTTTCTTTACCATGGTAAAGTAGAATTGCTTCAAATAAAATGTAAGAGTGGAAATTTATTTTGCACTGAGTGTGTACATGTAAACTGTTCACAACTATCAAGCCTTCAACTTGTCACACACAACGCTTAAAAAAAAAAAAATCCAATTTGGCCAACTGTGGTTTAACCACAAGACTTTGCAAATACCAAATGCTTATTCAGAGGCAAATACTGATATTTGAGATTCAAAATGACATTCTTATTATTCAATTTTCTGTCCTTTGCTAACATCAAAGTGGTCATTTTAACAACCACTTTTTTTTTTGCAAGTTGTAATAGTATATATTTTCTGTACACATTTTAAAACTATACAATCTCAGAAGTATGTACAAGCAATAATCTATAAACAATGAATGAACAATTGATGAAAATACTCCGACTTTTAAACCAGGGAGGATGGGAGTAAAAATAATATGTTCTTTGGGAAAACCAAAATTGCAATACATGTTTTTATATTTTTCTTTACATGTAACTTGCTATGATAATTCCCCCTTAGAAATTACTATTTTTTTCTTTTGGCTTTCATAGTCTAATAAATATAAATAAGATATTTTACTAATAAATAATAACAAATGTTATATCCATCTTCCTTGTGAATTGTAGATAAATGACTGTTTTCCATAATGCTGTGGTCGATAGGTTGCTGAAACCAATCAAAGAAAGCAAAACTTTAATATTGCACCCACTCCTGGGTTATTCAAGGGCCGCAATATCTCTGACAAGAATGTGTTGTTAATTTAAAACCTGATTAATGCATGTTTTCACCAGTGTGAAAAACTCATCATTTAACTCTTCCCACCCTAGCATCAGTATACAGTCATAATATTGTTCCCCATACTGTTCTCTATACATTTCCTAAAGTGCAAACAAGGAGAATTTGTTTAACAATCAAGAGCTTTTTTAGGATGTAAGGCAAGAGTCATGAATCACATCATGGCCTCTACTATGTTACAAGAATTGACAATAAAATCCAAATACATGATTATATACTGTACATACCTGGTCCTGGGGCCTCTTCCTCACCAGGTGCTCCCCCTGACCATCTACTTGTTGTTGATACAAAAGCAGAGCTGGACATGTAATGTTTAGGGGGGCCTTCATAGTCAACCACATCGTAATGACCCGGTCCTGGCAAGGGCTCTAAGGGTGGAAGAGGCATTGCAGGTGCAGAGATACACAAATAGTGCTTGTTGCTGCAAGATAATATAGAACGAGAATTATAGTTATTTTAACCTTGCCCTAATCATCTCTCCAGTACAAAACAATGCAATAATTTTTTTCTATCTCTGTTAAATTTTGAGCTGTTTTAGCTAAAGGTTAAAGTATGCATGACTACTGTCAGTGGTAACCATGTACAATTCTGTCATCTAAATGTTCAAGGTGGTGAGCCATTTATTGGCTCACACTTAAAAAGCCAACTCAAGCTGATTTTTTTAGGGAAGGTAATGAATATTTTTGATCGCTCAACAACAAGCCCTTCAAGTTCATCCGTGACCACCACAAAGGTGAGAGCCTCTCATAGAGGTTTACACTATATCCTCTAAGTCCATAAGCCCTAAGTAGGGTGTGAGAATGTGCAACGCATGGTTTACATTGTGTGTTACTGGGTACAACCTTTTGTGAAGATTATCGTCATAAACTTTAACATTCTGTTCAAATATACCTAATGTGGCTAGATAAGGTTAACATGACCCAATCTATGACATACTTCTGCCTCGCACAAATTCACTAAATGAACTTATTTTGTTCCAAACAGGGTAGAGGTTTTTAGGAATTTGTAACACACCAACAATTTAACCATTTCTTGATTGGCCCTCATAATGAGGAGGTTTCAAACACAGCCGAATTGGGGTTCTGTCCTCGTGTACCGGTTCACAAGAGCCAAGACAAAAGACCAAACAATACACTATAGCTAACCAATGACTCCCAAACAAAGAAAGAACAATGGTAATTCCCTTGTGAACTGGTACACCCGGACAGAACCCAAATTGGGTAGACCACATGCATGTAAGAGCTTGCAACTGCCCTGAATTGAACATATGGGGGATAAAGTGGACCCCGAAACTGTGCTTACTGAAATCCATTCTGCTGCTGCTGCTGCTGCTGCTTTAATGTTTGTTGCTCTGCTGTTCCAAAGGGCTTGTATGATGCAGGTCCTGGGTATGATACTGGAGACTGTATCATCTTTCTCTCTGTTGTAGACTTGAAAGGTGCAGTTGCGATTTTGGGTGAATCTGTTACCAGCTTGTCATTGATTGTGTAATGACCTGTAGTGTGAAGTTTAGTTCATTAGTAGATCTAAGGCTCAGAAAGCAAACAGTATCTTGCATATTCCGAACATGTAGCAAGATGACGAGTAGTAAAGAAACAAGCAGTATCAATTTTACTTCTGAAAGGACATGATCAACCTATCCCTTCTATCCTTTACACTCCCCAGCCACAGTTTTTAGGTTCCTCTGAAAGTGTAACAACTAAAGAATAATTTGAGTCATCTCCAGCCAAATGGTTTTTAAACTCCTTCATTTGCAGTTTCCATTGTTTGATCTCTGAGGTATGTTTTCTCTATGTATTAGAACATACATGTAATGCTCTTCACATCACCAGCTTCCACCTTCACGTGTACATCTTGGCTCTCTTTACCCTTTGAGTCACTAGATCTGATTTATACAAGTCATGTTGTTCTCCCCTCTACCCACTAAATAATTCTTTGTAAATTAGTTACAAGAATTGGTGTTACATCAAGATAACAACTTCCAAATTATAACTTTGAGTATTTTCAGTACGTGTTGCTGGATAATGTATGGATATTACAGGGCGAAGAAATATGTTAATCACTTCTGGGATGTAATGAGTTTAATAGCCCATTGCAGAAAAACGTGAGAGGACTGGGATGAGTTTCTTATATTGATTACCGGTACATTGAAAATCTAAACATTTCAACCGACATGTTAATGAATGAAAAGCTACCCAGTCAAGTTTGAGAGTTTTCAGGGGAAAAGTGTCCAAATCGGAGCCTTGCAAAAGTTGCAAAAATTCCATACAAACCCTTAAAACGTTTTGGCCTGTCTACCCAATCCATACAAACTCTCTATTTCAGGTGATATTTGAAGAGCTGTCATTTTGCCATTTTCCTCCTCTAAATACTTCTATTCTTGCTTGAGACTCTCAAATTTAGTTTCATTTGAATATCTTAGTTTTTCAAACGAACGGAAAACAACCACACTCTTTCCCAGTCCTCTCACGTTTCTGCAATGGGCTATTGGACCCCGCCTTATCTATTACTATATACAGTGCTGCCCTGAAATGCACATATTAAATAGCTGTCAGTAGACTATGTGGGTTTAAATATGGTTACATGTAGCTGGAGCAGCATGACTCCATTTTGTTTCAAAGTTCAGTTTGAACATGAAAAACTTAAACAAAGTACACAATAATGACAGAATTTTCTTACATGGAGATGGTCCATAGATTGCTCCTTCACTCCAATCCTTTGATCTTTTGGATCTAGATTAATAAGTGTAAAATAATATTATTATTCTCAGGAAAAAAAAAATGGGTGTATCCCATGATCTTTAATCTTTATTTTTATCTCTTTCAAAGAGGTGGGGCTTTTTTACATCCAAAACAGCTTCCTCTTGCTGTAGATAGTGTAAAAATTCTCTTTATTTTTTGATCCATGCATAAATTGAAAGCAAAGTGGTATTTGTTATCAGTCTCTCTTACTGAGCAGCTCTAGAACATTCAATGTACAACACTTCTGAGGGAAAGGGATTACAAAAGTCAGATCTTTACAGGACACTAGAATTGTCCCAGAGAAGAAGAAGAGTTTGAAAGGGGAAAGAAGAATGACAAGGGAATTCAGATTTTGTTTTCTCTTAAAAAGGTTTGGGTCCAAAGTGAAGGAAACTAACTTTTAAACCACAGCCTTAATGATGTAAAAGATCCATGTTTTCTTACCTCGACTGAAATGCAGCACAGGCTGCAACATTGTTCTCATAAACAACCCTTCCTGTTGTGTGGCCAATCTGTTGTACAAAAAAAGAAAAAGACAATTCACAACTGCCTTTCAGTGGTTGTAATTAACTTTCATAAATTAAAGAAACAAGACCATGAATGAAATAGATTACAATGAAGTGGTTTTAAAATTATGAAAAAAGTCTTTATTACAAGTTTATCTGGCACTTTGTGGTTATATATCCATTCTAGAGAGAACATGTACACTCAATCTACATATATCTTATTAACCAAGCGCAAGGGCCGTACTGGGAGAATAT